ACTACACCAGATTGGTGTTTATTTATTTTTTACACAACATTTATTCTTATTTACGTTTTTCTACCTTTTTCTATTTTAAAATATATCACTTTTTTTTACCGTTTTTAAAAATTACCTCTATTTCACCATTATTTTTTCACGTCCATTTTATTTTTCCATTTTATCATTTTTAAGTGTAAAATTTAATTTTTATACTCTTTATTTTCTTCCTTACTTTCTTTTCTCCCACATGCTCGAGGTGTGAGATAATATATATATATATATATATATATATATATATATGTATGCATGTAAAATTTCTTAGAAAATTCTAACATAAATATGTTATAAAATTACTACCAAAATAGTCATTTTGTTTCAACACTTCTGGTGTCTTATCAAGTGATAGTGCTGAATCTTCAAATAAATTATATTTGCTCTACTCTGCATTGAGCAGTGTTTTAAGAATAGTATTTTTTTGGTTATTGGAATTTATTCCGTATACACCAATCCTATATATATATATATATATATATATATATATATATATATATATATATATATATATATATACTCATGTGAAAATTAATTGAAACGAAACGAATAATTCCGTTATTTTTTTTTTTTCGTATTTTTTCAATGAAACCTGACACTGTACACATGTTAGTACTTCGTATGTCCGTTCCACGAAGTCGTTCCTTGCAGATTGGCTCCAAATTCTCGATTGAATCTAAATCAGGGGTGGGTTCCATGTCAGTCTACAGTACTTTGATTTGCTCATTGATAAGGTTTGCCAGTGTGTTCGTGCAGCGTTGCAAATTTCGTACGCTTCCTTAGAGTAACCTTCATCCTAGACAATGGCCGTAAGACAACTAATCGACAGCCGTGACAATAGTGTCTAGGCGTGATGAAAATCTGACGCAATCACGGTTGACGTAATGTTTTTCAAGTCTAAACAATTTTCATCATACAACCCGAAAATAGATTCATATTATTGAACACCACTGCAATCTGAGATGAAAAGAAAGGAAACTAAAGTGGTTGTTTCAATTAATTTGAACAATGGGATAGATAGATAGATAGATAGATAGATAGATAGATAGATAGATAGATAGATAATGAACAGACTGGGATAGATAGATAGATAGATAGATAGATAGATAGATAGATAGATAGATAGATAGATAGATAGATAATGAACAGACTGAGATAGATAGATAGATAGATAGATAGATAGATAGATAGATAGATAGATAGATTCATTTGTCAACAGGTCGAAATATGAACGGTTACAGTAAAAACGTAAAACATTTTTTCTGAAAACCCACTTGTAAGTAACACAATTTTAATTTCAATATTTCTCTGTAAAAATCCATGTTTTATAAATATTACATATAAATAAATATAAATATTAGGTTTTTTTCCAAATCTCTCTCTCTCTCTCTCTCTATCTATCTATTTCTCTCCCCAGAGAGAAAGAAGAAGAAGATTAAGAGATTAAGATAGACGAAGGTAGAGAGATGAGAACCGAAATACAAGTTGAAAAAGATAATAGGAATAATGAAGGAAGATATTGATTGTTTGTGCTTTACGGCTTATCACACCTTTGCAGGTTATTTAACACCAGAAAAGAAAGAAAGTAAGAATTAGATAAATAAAGAAAGAAAGAAAGAAAGGAAGGAAGGAAGAAAGAAAGAAAAGAGGTAAGAAAGATCAAGCAAAGAACGAAGGTAATAAAAAAGAAGGTAAAAAGAAAGAAAGAAAAAAAAGAAAGAAAAGGCATGAAAGAAAGTATAAGAAAGAAAGAAAGAAAGAAAGTAAAAAAGAGGGAAAGAAAGGAGATAAAAGGAAGAAAGAAAGAAAGAAAGAAAGAAAGAAAGAAAGAAAGAAAGAAAGAAAGAAAGAAAGAAAAGAGGTAAGAAAGATGAAGGAAAAAACGAAGGTAATAACGTAGGAAAGAAATAAAAAAAGAAAGAAAGAAAGAAAGAAAGAGAGAAAGAAAGAATGAAAGAAAGAAAGAAAGAAAGAAAGAAAGAAAGAAAGAAAGAAAGAAAGAAAGAAAGAAAAAAGAAAGAAAGAAAGGAGACAAAAAGAAAGGAGGAAAGAAAGAAGGTAAAAAGAAAGAAGAAAAGAAAGAAAGAAAGAAAGAAAGAAAGAAAGAAAGAAAGAAGTAAGAGAAAAAAATAAAAAGAAAGAAGAAAAGGTTGGTTAGGTTTTATCTTGTTTTACGGATTATCAGCCTCAGTGGATTAAATGCCGACAAGATTTTTTGTACGAATAGAATAGGAATTATTTTTTTGTTTTTGTCTTGCTGGTAATATTTTTTATCAAAAATGTATTGCTGGTATTTTTACTAAAAAAATCTGTTATCATACTTCATAGTGTTTTGGCGCCAGTTTTGTGGTTAGCTATTTGCCCATAGATGGCACCTTAAAAAGTTCTACCCACTCCCATCGGGTCAGGGTAGACCTGGAAAAAAACAGCAATTAAGTGCCCCTTCCATGCTCCTCAAAACCTCCAGATCAAAGGCCTTGCTGCCAAATGTAGTTTATCGTCATATCCAGGACGCCTCATTGCGAGGGGGTACCCCTCTGCAGAGGTGCAATAGGCGTCTATTGAATCCCTAGCCGCCTGGACGGGAAAGAAGAAAAGAAAGAAAAAGGGAAAACACTAAGACTTTGAAATTGACAATGTTAGAAAGGATATCAACCAATCCTTCTCCGATCAGTTATTGTTATACAAATTGTACGTTTTTAATTGCTTTCGAAAATTAGCAAAACAGAAAAAAAAGAGAAAGATCAGAAACAAAAAAAATGAAGGCCTACAAAGGATCATTATTAAAATCTACCAGCCAATTCCCAAGAATGGCACAAAAGACAAATGCATTGAACAAACAAGAAAGAAACGAATTACTTCAAATGATTTTATCAGAAAGAAAATCGACACAGTCAAGCACTTTGAAGAGAATACAAGGAGCTTTGCAAATCGAAATAATTCTTCAGCCATTACGTATCCGACCGATAAATTTCAATGAAAACATTTTGTTTCTCTCTATTGTTGCGATAGAAACTTAAAATATTTTTGGTTTTTATGAGGAATGTGATTTTTAGATGATATAATGAACAAATTGATTCAAGTTTTGTAATTCGATTTTAATGAAGAATTTAAGGCGCAAACAAAATGAAAAGAATGGAAACTAGAAAGATAATAGGTTACCTATTATTGAGAAAGATGTGCCAATTATCCAAATTAACAAGAAAAGCAAAGCCATCCTGGGTATGACGATAAACTACATCTAAGAGCAAGGCGTCTGGTCAGGAGGCTTTGAGAAGCGTGGAACCACCTTTT